ATCGTTCATGAAAGACTGGATTAGCAGCCATGAACAAGGCAGATTTATCACAATACAGTCTCGGAGTTGCAAAACACGGCACAGCCAAAGCAGCAAGAAGCCCACGTAGCCAGCGGATCTTCGTACATGCATTTGCCATTGCTCTATACTCGGCTTCTGCTAAAGATCGGGAAACTGTAGTTTGCTTTTTAGTGCGCCAAGAAATTGGAGACCCACCAAGCATGATGAAATAACCAGTCACCGATCGGCGTGTCAACGGACAACTTGCCCAATCAGAATCTGAAAAAGCTGTAAGAGTAAGATCACTATCGCGACACAACAATATTCCCTGACCAAGGTGACCTTTTATATAGCGGAGAACATGCAGGGCAGCATTCTAGTGATCTAAACGGGGTGCCTGCATAAACTGTGATAAGACATGTACTGCATAACAAATATCAGGGCGTGTGATAGTCAGATACAGTAGTCGTCCCACAAGACGTCTATATTTGGTAGAGTCACGAAGCTCTGCACTTGTGGAACGTGACAAGTTGTGATTGCTAGGTAGAGGGGTATCAACAGGCTTACAACCAGATAAATTAGCCTCTTGAAGAATGTCGAGAGCATATTTCTGCTGATTTAACACCATCCCTGCCTGGGAACGAGCACACTCGATACCAAGGAAGTAAGAGACAGGACCAAGATCTTTCAGATTAAAACATTCATCCAAATATTTCTTGAAAGCAGTACATAGAGAAGAATTATTTCCTGCAACAAGAATGTCATCAACATAAACAAGAACAACCAGCATATCAGGACCACAACGATAAACAAAAAGAGTATGATCAGCATGGGCTTGACGGAAGCCATAACACCGTAACGCCAACCGAAGTTTAGCAAACCAATTGCGAGAGGATCGTCGAAGGCCATAGAGGGACTTGCGGAGGCGGCATACTTTCCCTGGGTAAAGATGGGTATAACCCGGAGGAATCTTCATATAAATCTCATCGGTAAGATCCCCATGCAAGAAGGCATTATTAACATCCAATTGATCAATCTGTCATCCCCTAGCAACGGCAACAGACAATTGAACACGGACAGTGGCTAATTTGGCTACCGGGGCAAAAGTATCAGTAAAGTCAACACTGAACTCTTGATGATTACCCAGCACAACTAGCCGAGCTTTGTCTCGTTCCTTGGTACCATCAGATTTATATTTGGTCCTGTACACCCATTGACACCCCAAAGCTTTCCGATTCAGAGGAAGATCTGTAATATCCCAAGTATGATTACGCTCCAAGGCGTTGAACTCCTGAGTAATGGCATCACGCCAAGAAGCATACTGAACAGCCTCACGGAAAGTACGAGGCACTGGAGAAGCATCAATAGCACCAAGAAACCCTTTGTACCTGTCATGTAACTTATTATAATGAACAAAGTTAGTAATAGGAAACCGAGTACCGGACGAAGATGGACTAGATGATGAGGAAGGTGGAGTGTCTGTTTTTGCAGAATGAAGAACATAATCATTAAGATGAGACGGAAGACGATGGTTACAAGGTGGCAACGGTTGGACAGTGGGTGGCGGAGAATTGGCTTGCGTCGAAGGGGCGTTGCTGCTGTTGTCGTCTAGGGAGGCGGAAGATGAAGGAGATGGAGGTGGCGATGGGGTAGAGACGGGGGAAGGACTGGATATGACTGTTTGTTGTGGGGAGGAGGTTACTGTGGACCCGGATGATGGAAGTACAGGAAAGTCCTCTGAAGAAGGATTTAAAATAGGCTGAGGAGAAGTAGACTTTGCGGGAATGGCAAAGGGAAATTGTGTTTCGTCAAAGGACACATCCCGAGTGTGAAAAAATTGGTGTGTCTCAAGATTGTATACTCGCCAGCCTTTAGTACCGTAAGGATAGCCGACGAACATACATTTCATACTTCGGGGATAGAATTTATTTGTGGGTTTAGGCATTTGACGAACAAAGCATAAACAACCAAAGACACGAAGATGATCTAAGCTTTGAGGTTTAGATGACAAGATCTCAAGGGGAGACTTACCCCCGAGTAGCTTTGTTGGCGTACGGTTGATAAGATACACAGCAGTTTTGACACATTCTCCCCAAAATTCAATGGGAAGAGAAGCTTGAAACATAAGAGACCGAGCAACATTTAATATGTGACGATGTTTGCGTTCGACCCGGCCATTCTGTTGTGGAGTTCCTACACAAGAAGTTTGAATGCACACACCCAAAGAGTCATAATATTGACGTAAAGAATCATTAAGAAACTCAGTACCATTATCAGACCGAACCATTTTTATTGTTTTGGAATATTGAGTGTGAATCATGGCAAAAAATCGCTTAAGACAAGATGTAACCTCACCTTTTGTTTTGATGAGGTAAACCCAAACAGCCCGAGAGAAGTCATCAACAATAGTGAGAAAGTAATGTGCACCAGATGATATACAAGCAGAATATGGCCCCCACAAATCACAGTGAATTAAATCAAAAACAGCAGCAGCTTTATTATTACTAACGGGAAATGAGGAACGAGTTTGTTTAGACAAAAAACAGATTTCACAAGTTTGCAACTTCTTGACAACAGAGTTTGTTTTATTTGAACCAAGAAAAGGTAAAACATCTGAGGATGGGTGTCCTAACCGTTGATGAAGAACAAACGGATCGATATTAGCTACAAGAGCTGACGCTGGAGGGGAAGCAAATACATACACACCGTTTCGCAAATCACCATGTCCAATCCTCGTCTTCGACAAACGGTCCTGTATTACACAACAATGATCATTAAAAGTCACGTAACAAGCATTATCACGAACCAAGCAACCAACAGATATCAAGTGGCAATGTAAGTTTGGGACATATAAAACATTATGAAGTACCAAACGTGGTGACAAGTGCACACTTCCCTGTTTAATGGCATGAACACGAGAGCCATTAGGTAGACAAATCGATTGGGGGGAAACATCTTTAATATCAGACAAATGTGATAAAAGTCTAGTCATATGATGAGAGGCACCGCTATCAAGCAACCAATCGCAAGTGTAAGATCTAGTTGCTTCGTATGCTGAGAAAATAGCCATTGGGAACCAAAATTTGTTGAACGGTTGGGAATTGAGGTTGGCCCACTCTGGCCCACTACTGAACTTTGCACCAGTGGAATTTGTATTCAAGTGCGGAGTATTTGGAAAAGTTGGATTACCCCCCCCCCCCTTTTTTGGCCGACTAGAACTGGACGGACGAACTGGAAATCTGACGGCGAATCTGACCACTTGCAATCTTCCTTGTAGTCGATCGGAGAGGAACCAGGTACGAACGATGACTATTCAGCACGAAGAATTTACACCAGGGACGGACGACGATTGAATCAGCACGACGATAGAGGCTTGACGGCGTAGCTTCGCTGTGATGCAATCGGCTCTTCTTTGAGTTTTACATATTTTCCCAAGAAAGAAGCTCCGATACCATGTAGAAATAGTTTATTTGGGTAAAACTTGATGCCATATTTCATTGATACATATGGGTATAAATACACTAAGGTGATACAATCGAGGAGCCCGGGTGATACAAACGAATAGCCCCGTCAATGAATATAATGTACAAAATATATACATATGCTAACAAAAAATTAAGTCATTTCTCTAAATAGTACTTAAATTAAATTTTTTCCCTAAGTAGCACTTAATAATGTCTATAATGTCCAGTGATGACAAACATTCACTTGAATAATGACTAATGAATAATGACTAAAAGTGCTACTTTGAGAAAAAACACATGTAATGTTATTTAGAGAAAATCATCATGTTTTAGTGCTATTTAAGTAAATTCCCCAATGGAGAAAGGTGATGATAGCAAGGGGTAAGAGGGAAGAAGATAAAGAATTCATTTGGTCTTTGTCTTTTAGTAAGAAACTGAATTGAATTAAATGGAGTGACTTGAAAAATTATTAGAGGCTTTAATTTAAATAGAGAATTATTGGGAATTATTGTGCACCAATTTACCAATTCAAAATCTTTAAATTCGTTTCCTAATTCACAAAATTCCATTTCCCAATTCACAAAATTCCATTGCAATTAAAAGGTAATTTTCTCATTGCTGCGGCGCACATGCTATTTTAATTAGCAATGATACTCCGCACTAAAGTGCTATCAAAAATGAAAAAAAAATAATGAAATAAAAGAATTATTACTCTCAATATTTTTCTAACAATTTCCAATATATTAATTTTTTATTCTTTAAAACACCTTTTCAATTTTTTTAAAAAATTTCCAATTTTACAACTCTTTTTTGAATCAGTATGAAATAAAAAATATAAAAACAAGTTCTAGAAATTACTTTTGAAAAATGAGTTATTTTTGAAAATGAATTTTCATTTTTTAGTGTTTGAGTGAAACTCTAAGCTGAGTACGGAGTACACAAATTCTTGTTTGCTCATAATAATAGGCCTATTTTCGAAACGATATGGACACTAGAGCTATTTAGCCTTATTATTTAATTATTTTATTTTCCAAACCCCATATTTATTTCATTTATCTGTGTGTCTTCTAGAGTTCTGAGAGTATGAAAAACAAAAGAGCAGCGAATGTGTCAGAAAGAAGAAATACCATAAGGGTCCGTTTGGTATACGGAATTGATGGAATTGGAATTGAAATTCTATGGGATTCAATTCCATAGAATTGAATTCACCAATTCCAATTCATATTTTGCACTATCTATCCCAAATCCACATAATTTTTGTGCTACCAAACACCAGGACTGGAATTGAAGTCCTCAATTCCAATTCCATGGTTTGAATTCCATGTACCAAACGAGGCCTAACTTTTTAAAATTGAAATTCTTTTCAACTTTTTTTAACACCAGTATTTTTATTCAGGATCATTTACAAAAAAAAAATGAATAAATAAGTAAATAAATACGGAGTACCTTTTAATCACAATGGAGTTTATTGAATAGGAAATAAATTCAAAGATTCTGACACGGCAATAAATTGGTGTACCTAATTAATTGCCAATTCTCAATTGGGGTTTTCTCTATTTAAAGCTTAATTACAATCCTCCAAGGCATTCAAACTAATTTGTTCATACACATATATTCATTCTTTAAACTTTAACTATACAGTAAAATTCAATTCAATTTCGTTATAAAAGAAGATCAAATGGATTCCTTGTCTCCTTCCCTATTACTTCTTGCCATCATCTCCTCCACCTTCCTCCTTGGTATGTTGGAATTTCACTTTTTTCCTCTTTTTTTGATAAAACAGTTTATATAAAGTTTATGATATTTGTTTTTTTGCGAATGCATGAAATTATTATGCACTTCTCTGTCCCAAAAAGATTTTATATTTATTATTACATAGTCGAAGAGTAACCATTTTTTATACTTGATTTTAGTACTCATTTGATAAAAGAATACTCATTTGATTATTTTAGGAGTTAAATCTACGAAGTTCACCGTCGTTAACAACTGTCCGTACACAATCTGGCCGGCAACTCTCACCGGAGGAGGCGGTAGTTCTCAAGCCCCGACCGGGTTCGAACTTGCACAAGGCGCGTCTACGTCATTCGACATCCCCGCTAAATGGACCGGCCGTTTTTGGGCAAGGACCCAATGCGCCGTCCAGAACGGCAAGTTCTCATGCATGACCGCTGACTGTGGCTCCGGCCAAGTGGCGTGCAACGGAGCCGGAGCGATCCCTCCAGCAACGCTAGTGGAATTCACGTTGGCGGGATTCCAAGATCAAGATTTTTACGACGTCAGCCTGGTGGACGGATTCAACCTCCCGGTGTCCGTCGTGCCAGACAACCCAAACTGTCGCCGAACAGACTGCCCGGTGGACGTGAACGCGAAGTGCCCGGCTGAGCTGGCATTGAAGGACGGGAACGGGGCGGTGGTGGGATGCAAGAGCGCGTGTTTGGCAATGGGGCAGCCGCAGTACTGTTGCACTGGGCAGTATGGGTCGCCAGGAACATGCCCGCCGACACAATATTCCTTATTTTTCAAGGGGTTGTGTCCCAATGCATATAGTTATGCTTATGATGACAAGACAAGCACTTTCACTTGCAAAACTGGTCAGGCCAATTACGTAATCACCTTCTGCCCTTAGAATATATAAATCATATTCATATTTTATTTATATATGTGAGTTTAAATGTATTTCAATTTTGTTTCTTGTCGTTGAAAGCTTCAATTTGTAGTGACATGTATTGTTTCTTATCACTACTCCTAAAATCACAAAAATAAACTATTGTAATTCCATCATGGAGTATGTAATAGTCCGGTTTTGACTATTTATGGTCAAAGTTGATAAATTTTGATCATTAAATAAATAAAATTTATATTAGATAATGATACAAGAATAAATTTATTACACATATTGTTAAATATTTTTAAAAAATGTTTTTATCTAATTAATATGCCTTGTAATTTTTACTTAATTATAGATCAAATGTCTATCTAGTTGGCTACAAAAAAAATCAAAGTTGAACAAATATTTTGGGCGCATGGAGAACTAATTCTTCTATGAAAAGTTCTTCCCATATTTTTTTAAATAGAAAATATATCACATAATTTTGAAAAGTTCTTCCCATCCACCTCACCCTTTAAAGCATCAGCAGCGGCATGTAAAAGGAATGACACGCCCTGCCACATCAGCGAGTGGAGGCGAGGCGCGAGGCAATTCAGGTGCATTCCACCCCACCTATCGTGCCATCTGCGAGGCAATATTAGTTTCACAATTATTATTTTTATTAATTATTATTGGAGTATTTGAGATGGAAGATCGAAGAATCTTCTTCTTCTTTTCAAAGAAGATTGAAGAGAAGATTTAGAATAAAGAAAGTAATGGACCGATCTAGGTTTTCACCTTAAGTCAAGCAAGGACACAACGGTGGGGCTGTGAATTTGTTGGAATGCTGTGAATCTTTTGGATGCTTTAGCTTGTCTGCACGACGGAGAAGGTTGTAGGCTTTTGTTGACAAATGAAGGAAACAATGGAGCTAGTAATATGTTGGATTCTTCATTTTGTTTACTTTAATTAAGATTTCAGATTTTTAAATTTCAATAATTATGAACTTGAATGTCCAATATTATATAAAAAGAGAGAATGATTTTTTATGATAACACATACTCCGTATAAGTGAAATAATTTTTATTATTAATATGAAGTATATATTTTAAAAAGTAGAAAAATACTTACTTGCCATTACAGGACTTGCCACTCAACTCATGTGCCACTGTATGATTGGACTATTTTTTATTGGTCGAAATATAACACGTCAGCGTGTGGCATTTCACTTTCTCCTTGCCATTGCTCGTGCTCTTAGGAGTAAAATGAACATTTAGATTATTTTCTCAATGCTCCTTAAAATGCATGCATGAAAAGAAATTTTGGAAAGATCATTCAAACGAAAGAAGTCATTAGACAAAAAAACCTCAATTTTAGATCATTTGTCTTATATAGGATCGAATATATCACAAATCTTTCACTTTTCACATCCTAATTGATACATACCCACAAATGTCACTTATATTTTACTTTTCACTAAACACTTCATTTTTAGACAATGTTTTAATTTTTTCAAACTAAAATTATAAACTTAGTTTTGAAGTGTATGAGTTAAAATCTCATTTTCAATTATGGCCCCATGTGAAAGTTAATACTCCATCTCTTTCACTTAAAGTAACATTTTTTATTATTTACGTGTTATGAGTTTTCGTATATCTGGGCTCATACAATCAGCAGAGCCCAACAACTGAGAGGATTCACAAGTGGAATAAGTAGTGCAATGGACGACGGAAGCTCCCTCCTCAGTCACAAACAACATATTTTAAGCTCCTAAGAGTATATTTAGAAAAAAAATGGGGCTTGCGAGTCTTTATCACAGAATAGGAGGCATCTGTTAGCAATTTTCTTAAACAATATCTGGTATGATATTATTTCATCAAATTGCATCGCTTGTATTTACATCGGTACAAAACCGATGCTAAAGGTATAAAACAACCGGTATCTTTGCCCTTTTATGTACTAGTGTAAGTAATGAAAATAAGAAAAGAAAGTAAATAAAATTTAACCCTATAAATTTGTTGCTTTATTTGCTTGTAAGTTCTCTTTCAAGTATTCTCAATTCTTTTACTTTCGGTTAAAAAAACTTAATTCAAAAGGGATGGAGTAGCTTTTTTCGACTTATAAGTAATGTATGCAAACAAAAATAGGAAAAAATCACATGAATATCCCCAATAAATTTGTGATTTTACATTAGTACTTCGGAATTGAAGAATTTACACCATTGTTCCTTGAAATTGCTCAATTTTAAACTAATACTTTAGACTGCCAACTAAGCTGAATACGTAACATTTTAAATGGTGATTGGATAAATATTAAGTATGAGTTGCTAGTTAATTAAAGATAAAGAAAATACCTTGAATGCGTTATAATTACCCCCTCCATGTCGGCCTGAAATAAAAATGTATTAAAACTTAAAAATAAAGTGTTTATATTTTGATCGGATAAATTATGAATAATGTTTTAGATAAAAAATTAGAGCATTTTAAACCTGATATAGTTCAAAATTTATATTTTAAAGATCTTTCCAACGAATATAAACTTAATTGTGAAATATGTACTTTAACAATCTTTATTTTTTCTAAACATTATTTTCTTTTATGTTTTATCACTCGTAGTTACCAACACGTACTTTATAATTTACAGCCATCATTTAAAATATTACTTATTCTTCTAGTTGACAATCTGAAATATTAATATAAAATTAAATAATTTTTGGGAGAAGTAACGTAAATTATTTAATTTCACAATATTAACGTAAAGTCACAAATTTCGCATCCACAAAAATATACATCATCAAGTTTATTTATAAATGAGAGACACCAATTATTCAAAGTCCAATATTCGTTTGGTTGGATTGTTGGACGTCTTGGCAACTAAACAAACAAAGAATTATTGGCGGGGAACCTCTTAAGCATAAACCCTAAAACCCGTTCCACCAGTTTCTACGCAGTTCGGACTTCGGGTTGCCCCAGTGCTCAAAATTTGTTGCTGGTTTCTTCAATAATTTCAGTTCTCATTCTGGAATTAAGGGTTTTCTTCTGTGCTTGATAGCTTTATTTCTTCTGGTTTTGAAAGATATTCGGACATGGAACAGAGATTAGCTAATTCATGGAGATTGGCCGCCAATAACAAGCAATTCATCAAAACCGCCTTGGTTTCCGACCTCAGAGTCGACGGACGGCGCCCTTTTGACTATAGACGACTCACTATTAAGTTTGGCCGGTAAGGGCTTTACTTTCGCATTTTTTTTAAAGATTTGATTTATCATTTTTCTGCTGTACAATGCTGTAGTTAGCTTGACTTGAAACTCTCTCGATTGGATGGGAAAATATAAAATCATATCCTAAGATTTGGGTTTAGAAATGGGCAAATTTAGAGTTCGAGAATCGAGATGGCCATCTATTTAACATACTCCTTCCGCCCCATAAGAGTCACGTTTCTCAATTTATTTAAATAGGTATATTGATGATTGAGTGCTTTCTAAGAGTTGTACCTTACTGAAATTTAAAAGTTGAACACTCATCAAAGGGGATTCTTTTCATGGGAAGTTAATCAGCTATAAGCGGATAGTGTGTGTTACACGTAGCTGCATAGAATATTCAAAATAATAATTCTTTCTATTTCATAATTGTTCGAAGTCATTATTAGCTGTGGGACTATGTTGAATGTGTAGAGAAGAAGGCACATCAGAGGTGCAACTAGGGCACACTCATGTGATGGGAGTTGTTACTTCCCAATTAGTGCAGCCTTATCGTGATAGGCCGAATGAGGGAAGCCTTGCAATCTTTGTTGAGTTTTCTCCAATGGCCGATCCTTCATTCGAGGCAGGCCGTCCCGGAGAATCTTCTGTGGAGTTGGGACGCATAATTGATCGTGGGCTGAGGTAGTTTTCTTTTACTCTTATCTCCGAGTATGTTTGGATCCCAGAAAATTCTATGAAAATGAAAGTTACCCGGAGTACTTTTAATGTTTGGTTTTATTTGTAAAATGCAGAGGTTGGTAAACACATCTTTATGTATCATTACTTATATGCAGACTTTGTAGTCCTCAATTAATATAAATAAATGCATAAAATTAGTTTGAACAAATGTTTCAAATTAATATCTCGTTTGAGCATATCTTTTATTTTCTCCCATTGTTTCCGATTCAGTTTTCTTCTCTTCCTCTGTCCTATTTTCTCTTCCTAATATTTTTTGAGTCCCACATGGACCATAAAAAACATGATATGGTCCAGATAGTAAGAGAGCTACACTGTCCTGTTTGGAATTATGCATCCACAACTTTTGCAATTAACGGCATGAATGTAGAGATACGATTGCTCTTTGATAATAAGAGGGCTATGTTCTCCTATTTGTGCTCAAGTTTCCTTACAACTTCTGTAATCACAAAGGCCTGGATGTAGAAGGATGTTTTTTTAGAAGAGTTCGTTACCACATTAGATGTTGGACCATATAAAATTTAAACTTTATAGGAAGATGAACAATTTACATTCTCAATTAGCTCTTTACTTGGGAGTCTTCACAGGAATAACCTTGCACCCCCAAGGGGCAGAGGTTAGGGCTGCCTACATATCACCTCTCAAACCTTACTCCGAGTGGGACATACTTGATATATCTGATCTTATTTTGTATTTTGTTTATATTGAGAGTGATGGTGTAAGATGCAGTTGTTGCTATATCATTATAATGTTTTGATGTCTTTGCTTGAAGGCTGCATCTCACAAGTATTTGGTAAATGCTTTAAAATTATTATGAACTGTTTGAGTATTTGACAATTAGGATTGAACATGCAGGGAGAGCAGAGCTATAGACACAGAATCTCTTTGTGTTGTCTCCGGGAAATGGGTTTGGTCGATTCGAGTTGATCTCCACATTCTAGACAATGGAGGGCAAGTTGTAATGTGTTTGTTACTGCTACAATAGTCTGACTTGAGGCAAATACAATATTTACCTTTTCCACTTTTTTTCTTTCTTTCTGGGAATAGGAATATTGTTGATGCTGCCAATGTTGCTGCCTTAGCTGCTCTTTCAACATTTCGTAGACCCGAATGCACATTGGGAGGAGAAGATGGCCCGGAAGTGATATTGCATCCACCTGAGGTTTGCTTTTTCATTATGATTATTCCAGAACAAAGATTTGATATGTATTCACTTACTAGCTTAGAAGACAGCTCATAACTTGTACTTATGCTTTGTTCAAGTTCTAATTCTCCACTTCAAGGGAACTTGGTTGTGGTATATACAAAAAGCAACATCTTGTTTTCGTGTGTTAATTTTTGCATTGTATGTTGGTTTTGAAAGAAAACGTTCAACATCTTCAATATCTTTCATGATTAAAACTGTAATTTTCTCACGTCATTTGAACTATCGTTTTATTTGTGCAGAGTATCTACTAGTTCTTACATTTTACAGCAAATTTATGCAACTCATATTGCGTAAAGTCGTAACTGTCTTCAATAACCACCTATTTTATTTGGATACGTCTTTGGTTTTAGTTTCTATTTAACTTACAAGTTCCATATTGTATTGCCTTATTGGTAGTATATGCAAACTATTATTGTTTCCTTTATTATGACCTTACTCCCATTTACGTGAATGGGAGCTTAGCTGGTTACCATAGATCCCATTTTGCCCCTCAAACAGTAATTTAATCTTCTTCATTGGGTTAATCATTTGTTTCACGACACAGGTCAGGGAGCCACTGCCCTTGATTATACACCACATGCCTATAGCAATCACCTTTGCATTTATTGGAAAAGAGAACATTGTGGTAAGCTTTAGACGGAGTACATTCTTTATTTGAGTCAAGTGTACTGTGTGCGGATTCCGTTGTTAATTTTGTTCTCTCCAACCGTTATTGGGTGCCATTAGGTGATAGACCCAACCCACTTCGAAGAGGCTGTCATGGGATCTAGAATGACTGTCACCTTAAATGCAAATGGTGATGTTTGTGCAATTCAAAAGCCCGGAGGAGATGGTATCATGCAGAGTGTCATACTGCAATGCCTGCGCATTGCCTCAGTTAAGGCTGCAGACATTTCGGACAAGATAAAGATTGCGGTATGTGATAATAAGACAGCGTTTGGTGCATTTTCTTTTGAAAAGTGATCATTTTGAACCTAAAAGCGTCATAGAGGTGCTTCTCGGCTTCTGCTTCTTCATCTCTGAAAAAGCTGAATTCAAACATTCCAAACTGCTTCCATCCAAAGCAAACATTGAGAGTCATTTTTAAAATCAGACCCCTAATCAAAACTCTGAAACATTCGAAACTGCTTCAATCCAAAGCAAATGCCTAAAATAATTTCTTAAAGAGTAAATTCCATAAATGGTCTCTAATTACAGGTGGTCTTCAATTTTAAGATATTACATAAATGATCTTCAATTTTTGAAAACTATTCCATAAATATTCCTTTACGCCAAACACAACAAAATATTTTTTCCGCAAATAGTCCCCAAAGGACCAATTACGGAATAGTTTTCAAAAACTGATGACTATTTATGTAATATCTTAAAACTGAGGACTAATTATGGAAAATCATCCGTAATTAGGGACCATTTATGAAATTTACTCTTTTTTAAAATTAGTCCTAACACCCTCTGAATCCCAACAATTGACTGAAAATCATGTTTTGTTGAGCTCTTTTCCACTCTCATTATTCAATCTCTAGCAATTCCAACCAAATACTAACATTTTTCTAAAGAAGGCCTAAAGTTTCTCTGGCATCGGCGTATGTGCAGGTCGAAGCATACAACACGGAAAGAGCTCTTAGCAAGATAAAGAGGCACAAACCGGCGGCTTTGGGCCTTCGGGCTCATGGGGAAAACAATGGCTTGGCTGAAGCAAACACAAAGGGTAGAAATGTAAAAGCAGAAGAGTACAGTGTGAGTGAAGGTAATGAGATGGACATTGAAGTGCCCCAATGATTTCAATTTTGGATCCATATTTAACATATTTTTTAGTTTTAATATACATTGAATCCCATTTGAAACAATGCCACCTGTTGTACTAATTTGCCACTTTTTATTAATGAAAAGAAAAATGCTAGGGTACACCAAAGACGTACCCTATTTGTCCCCCACCCCCTCCATTACCACAAAAATGGGCAAGAAATTAAAAAAAAAATTAAATAAATAAAAATGGGGTTAAAATGAGTGGTAGAGAAAGGGGTGGGGGACAAATGGGGTACACCAGGGTACACCAAGGTGTACCCCTAGCATGGCTCTAATGAAAATTTAAGATGAGGTTTACTTTTTGTGTAATCTATAGCTTTTAATATGTACTTCGAGGTATATTTTATATTGTTGGGTAATTTGGGTAATTTTTACACTAAGGTACAACTAGTGGAATGAACTGGTTCACTAACAAGAATTATATCCAACAAATATTCCTAAATAAGTACGGAGTATCTATTATGACTTTTTAGATACATTAAATTTTGAATAAATGTGAACGAATATTATGCCTATATTTATTTAATTTTTAATGGATCTTGAAAATTTTATTAGACAGTTATTTAGGGGGTGTTTGTTTTTCTGCCAGAAGACCTTCTGGCGTCTTTTGTCTGCGCCGCGCAGACGCGCGCAGACGATGAGCTTTGCAGATTGTTTGTTTTTTGGAAGACATTTCAATCAAAAAGGTCTTCTTGGCATCTTCTTGGAGAAGACATTAACCAATGTCTTCTAACATCTTCTCCTTTTTTTTCTACTTCTCTTCACCACCACAACCGTCCACCGCCACCTCCACCGTCCACCATCACCGTCACCGTCCATCACCATCGTCGTCCACCACCACCGCTACCATCCACCGCCACCACCACCACCGTCCACCACCACCGCCGTCAACATCCACCACCACCACAATCGTCCATACACCACCACCGTACACTATCACCATTAATTTATATAGCAGTCTACAGACATTAAAAACAAACAGTCTTCTTCTTGCAGACCGCAGACCTTCGCTCCACCACTTCTCCTGCAGATGTCTACAGTAGTAGTCCGCAGACCTTTTCCTGCAGAAAAAACAAACACCTCCTTAGAAACGGAAGGAGTACTATGCTACAAAAAAATAGGGTAACAACAATAAATAGATCGACTTGAATTTACTCCCTTTGTTTAGTTAATTAACTCAAACTAACAATATGAACCCACGGGAAAATAGTGTTAACATAATTAACTTTAACAAGTAATACTCCGTATAACATTTCATTGATTTAAATGAAACTATAACACTTACAAAAAAACAACACTAATAAATAAAAGAAAATAACAACTCATAAAAAATGATACAAATAACAATATTGTAAATTTTTTAATGTAACTGTAAAAAATAATACTTCACCCTCCAATACGTTCAAATTATTTGCTTAGTTGAAACGCTCACAAGAATAGCTCAACTGAGATGCATTCTGCAATTTAATTTCACCGATTTAGATACTACAATCCACGATGACAATCGTTAATTTATACGCATGCGAAATATTTTTTGGGAACTCTATTTATTTAAAAATGATTATATTTTATGTGTGTACAAATATACGAACGATTATTATGTGTGATGTCAAGTTTCAATAATATTTCGCGGTTTAGGGCTTATATTTTGGGTTTGAAATTTCAAAGTTGGATATTTGAAGAACTTAGAAAAAAATTAAAAAATGTTAAAAAATAATTTTTTCAACTCAAAAGAATAGAGTGGGGTTGAGCATAACTGGATTTAGGCATTAATGATCAACAATTAAGAAGGGGCAGGTTTAAAGTGCAAATATCAAAACCGGAGGAGAGTTGGCTAATAATAATAATAATCCCATAAATGCTCACCAACCAAAAGCTTGCTCCCGGCCAATTACACTCCTACCCTCACCGGAGGGGATCCAGATCAAATCGAAAAAAAATTTGGACTAAAAAGTCCTTAGAAATATAATGAAATAATATGGAGTAGTAATAATTGCAATAAGAATAATATGAAAAATCACATGAATAATTTTTAAATCAAACAGATCTTTTAAAAAATAAAGACAAAAAGTATTCTGCTCCAAATGAAATTAGAGCTCTGTTATTTTATGTTCTATTTCTTAATTAATGTTTTTCAATGTAAATATTAAATAGTATTCAAATATTAACACAAACAAATGTAAAAAACAAAATTATACTCCAAATGAAATAAAAGCTTATTTTTATATTTCTAACTATGGAGTTATAATACTTTTCAACATAAATATTATTCTTATTTCATTTATCATTATTTGAAACAAAGCTTTAATTTAAAAATGAACATGTAGCCATGCCTCAACTATGGGATAGAGGAGTGGGATAGAGGAATTGGTAAAGAGGATCCACCCCCATAGAATCATATTTGGTGATTACACTAAATAGTTTAGAAAATTAAAATTATGCCATTCTTATTATGATCTTATCTTAGTATTTTTTTATGCTATTTTACGCTTACCTAGCAATATTTTTTTCCTAGAAAAAAACCTTGGATAATTCTACTTGTGACACTATTTTTGACACTAAAAACAAACATAAACAATACTCTCTTCGTCCTAAACTGATATTTCCAGTTCGGTCTACGACGTTTGACTGAACTTTTTTCAATCCAATTTATTTCATTATAGGAATACAATTAAAAATTAAACTCGTTTATTTTAAAACTACATCAAAATTTCTACACAATAAGGAGTGACATGACTATATTATTTTATCAAATAACCAATGAAAAATAAGTAAATAAAGTAATTAAAATTTGATCATATGAATAGTGACTGGTGAAAGAGGGTAATTTTTTTTAGAGTAAAAAATGAAGTCAAATGCACCTCTAAAAATACTACATTGTCCAATAATTATGCCAACCCAAACACACTCCAAAAGAGGGTCAACTGCACAGCTGCAAGTCTACAACAAAAAATGTGAATGGAAACTGCAAAACAAACCACCGCCAAAACCCAACTAACATTTAAGTCTCCCCATTTCCCACTTCCCCAATATATATATATATATATATATATATATATATATATATATATATATATATATATATATATATATATATATATATATATATATATATATATATATATATATATATATATATATATATATATATATATATATATATATATATATATTTGAAGATCTCATAATTGGCGGTGGAGATGGAGATAGAGGGCGGCGCGGCGAGAGGCGGAGGAGGCGGGAGGGGGGACATCGAGAGCGGGGCGGCGGCGCCGGCGCTGCAGCGGAAAGGAGGGGTGGCGTACCTGGTGTGGGAAGACCTGAGGGTGGTCCTCCCGAATTTCGGGCAGGCCGGCCCAACTAAGAAATTGCTCCACGGGATCAGTGGGTATGCCGAGCCCGGTAAGATCATGGCCATTATGGGCCCATCTGGCTCCGGCAAATCCACCCTTCTTGATTCCTTAGCAGGTCTCTCTCTCTCTCTCTCTTACTTACTTTTAACTTTTTCTTGAAAATGTTATTTTCTTCCTCTCACTTTTTTTTTTAATTTTTATTACAATGAAAAAAAGATTTTGTAATTGATATTGATTTTAAAAGTTTTTTAAAAGATTATCTAATGTCATCAATTTTTAATTTTAGTGTTTTTATAGTTAATTGTAGTATTAAAATATTATCCAAAATTTGTTTAATGTTGTTCCCAAAGACCTACTTTTTTTTGTCTTCATCTGCTACAATTGGTCCATTTCCATATTGGGTAAAAGGATAGATTTTAACTTTTATGAAGGGTATGATGGGAAATCATCTGTAATCATTTTCCTTGCTTTAAAAAGTACACAAAAAATAAGATTATGACTCAATTTGCTTAGAAATTATCAGAAGATTCTAGAGATAAGGTTCATCCTTTTTACTCCCTATTTATCAAATCTTGTTTTGTAAATTTTGTATTATTAAATGTATAATTTTTATTTTTTTAAATATTTACCATGTTTTAAATTAATTAAAAATGTTCAGATCTGGTAAATAACAACAAACTATTTAAATTGAGATGAATGGAGTACTCCATATTACTCCCTCCGTCCGGAAATTTTCTTCCCATTTGATTTTTTATGGTCTTCAAGATTGCACTTTGACCACTAATATTTTTATTTATACATAGATATATTTTGTAAAAATTTGATATTTGAAAACTATATATCAAAAGGAATATATTCATATTAAAGTTATATCGTAATACAATGTATTTTTTCTATATATCATAGTCAATTTTATTGACCAAGAAAAGTCAAATGGAAAGAATATTTTCATGGGGAATAGATATTTGTGTCTTGTCAAAGTAATGAATGAGGAAAGGATGGGATAATAAATGTGATTGTTCATCTAGTGGTTAGGCGCTGGACAGATGAATAAATAAATGATACTGTAAATGATTGAATAATTGCTCAGCTAACTAAGGCTGCCTTCCGTTCGTCTGATCTGATGTGATTTTTTGAAGATCTGATCTGGTCTGGTCTCATTTGATCTAATTGCAGTTGTAATTAAAACTGTTTATGATCTGGTCTGATCTGATTATAATAAGAATAAGTAATAAGCAGAAAACATAAGTTGAATGGAACGCTTCCTAATTCACTTTCTTTTGTCTTCTACACATGATTTTGTGCACTTTTTTTTTCTTTTTTTTTCTCAAAAAAACACGTAGTATTATCTTTGTCTGATAGTATCTCCCTTTCAAATTAAACTTTGTTTTGCTTTATTATGGAGTTTAAGAAAAAATTAAGTTGTGTGATTGGAATTTATGTGAGAAAAAAAATGTTAAATATTCAATCATTTATCTTAAAAGAAATTAAAAAAATTATTTTGGCACAAAAAAAAACGAGAAGGAAACATTATATTTATCTGTTGTCCTGCATTATGCAGCATATTAATGGCTGTCCATTCCATTCAATAATTTCCATTCATCCTCTATCTATTTTTTCATTTTTCATTTTTTTTTAATTAAGCTAGGTGTAGTTCAATTTTGACACTACTCACATACACACAATAGTGCAGTGTCTGAATATCTGTAAGAAGATGATGTCAAAATTGGGGTAATCCTCACGTCAAAACAAGTCGAGGGATACCGCGTAGTTGTGTTAACCAAAGAGCCTTAGTTGTGGGTCCCGCATTGCCGCTCGGGCTCTTTGGCCACGTACGGATGTTGGATCCGGTTTTTGACTGCATTCTCATTTTTTTAATAATGTTACTCCCTCCCTTTCCCTCTTTTTTTTTCAAATACATTTAATAAACATCGCCACTTTTTCTTTCTATCGCCAATTATTTTTTTTTCTTAAATAAGTGAGACCGTTGTCGTGAAACTTTTATGTTGTCTCATTTCAGGTAGGTTGTCTGGTAACGTTGTCATGACGGGTGATATTCTTCTCAACGGGAAAAAGAGGCGACTAAGCTACGGCGTTGTAGTAAGTGGACTCCCCTTTTTTGCACTTCAATTTTATTTAAATGTGACATTTGAATACTATATTGTACGAGCCACGTGAAATGTTTTCTATTAATAGAAAGTATGTAGCATAACTTTTTTCTGAGACATATAAAAAAAGAAATGTAGAACCTTTTTATGAAATAGTGACGTGACAGGCTTACGTGACACAAGAAGACGTGTTGTTGGGGACCCTAACGCCACGAGAAGCCATCACATATTCAGCCAAACTGCGTCTTCCGACAACCTTAACCAACGAGGACATAAAAGGAATCGTGGAGGGGACAATCCTAGAAATGGGGCTGGTGGATTGCGCCGATAGGGTGGTGGGTAACTGGCAGCTGAGGGGGATAAGTGGTGGCGAGAAGAGGCGGCTGAGCATTGCCCTAGAAATCCTCGTGCGGCCCCACATTCTGTTTCTTGATGAGCCGACCAGCGGTCTTGACAGCGCATCGGCTTTCTTTGTCGTTCAAGCCCTCAAAAACATTTCCCGGGACGGAAGAACGGTTATCTCTTCTATTCACCAGCCTAGCAGTGAAGTCTTTGCATTGTTTGATGACCTCTATTTGCTCTCCGGTGGAGAAACCGTTTATTTTGGAGAGGCCAAGAATGCTGTTCAGGTAAATTGTTTGATGGCATCATTCTTTGCACAGACACACACTGACAACAATTGTCGGTGTCGCACATATAGTTATTATCGGTGCAAAACATGAAGTTAAATGAAGTTTGCATTTTTCCACTTTCTCTTTTTTTAGAAATCAATGTCCTCTAAAATGTCTTTTTTTTTCAGTTTTTTGCGGAAGCAGGATTTCCATGTCCAAGTAGAAGAAATCCGTCGGACCATTTTCTAAGGTGTATCAATTCAGACTTTGACATTGTGACAGCAACATTGAAAGGCTCAATGCGACTCCGTGTAAGAGTGACACCAATTTTGATTATATTCTTTTCTTTCAAGTACTCAAATACTTTCTCCGTTTCAAAAAACTGTTCCAATTTTCACTTTTGACAAATACGGAGTATAAAAGGAGTGTATTTTGTAGTTGACTCTCCAATTTCGCCCTTGGATGTGCTTAGCAGATTAATAGTGAATAGATATGATGTGATAGGTTGGTTGAAAATTAATATGCGTAAAATGGACTTTTTAATGGAAAGCGGATATGTTTTATGCGAAGAGTGAAAAATGAAAGTTAAGTTGTTTTGCGAAACGCAGGGAGTAATATTACATTATCTCAGTTTAACATCGTGTATGGCATTTGCATTATCAGGAAACAGATAAGAGCGATTATCTGATGAATATGGCGACAGCGGATATCAAGGCTATGCTTGTCGAAAAGTTTAGAAGATCGGAATATGGCGCAAGGGCGAGATCAAGGCTTCAAGAACTCTCTAGAACCGTATGTATTTAGAGCTTTTTAATGGAATAATTGTATTACTCGAATAATGAGTAGGATATACGAGTGTATATATAGGAACCAGTCCTCGTAGACTCGGAAAGTTATCAAATAATAGAGACAAACTATGCATATTTGGCAACAAACTATGCACTTCTTACTTACATTTGGAGCTTTTAAGTGTCGTCTTTTGGTTAATGCATTGATCTAATATATGTATGAATGCAGCAAGATATTGAAATAGAGACGATTAAGGGAAGCCAAGCAGGATGGGTGAAACAATTGGTGACATTGACTCAAAGGTCATTTAAGAACATGTCAAGGGACCTCGGATATTATTGGTCGCGCATAATCATCTATATAATTGTTTCTGTATGCGTCGGAACCCTATTTTTTAGGGTTGGCACCAGCTACACCGCTATCTTGGCTCGGGGAGCTTGCGGTGGATTCATCACCGGATACATGACCTTTATGTCCATCGGAGGCTTCCCTTCGTTTGTAGAAGAAATGAGGGTAAGCACAACTTTATTTTCATTCATGTTCATAGTTAACAATAGAGTGTATGCCCATTTTAAAAATATATGTGGGGCCCATTTGGCAACGATTTCCGCGTTTTGAAAAGATTATCTAATAGTATTGTTTAAATTTAGCATTTTTAGAGTTAATCTGTACATTACAAAAATTATTCAAAATCTAATGCTATTTGAAAACGCTGATCCTAGACAAGGCCGTGGTTTTAAAGTGATACACTTTTTTCTTTTTTATTTTGTTTTTGAATTGTTTGGACATTTTTTTCATTTTTGGCAGGTGTTTACCAAGGAAAGGCTAAATGGACACTATGGGGTTGGAGCTTTCGTATTGGCGAACTTCTTTTCGTCCTTCCCATTCTTAGTAGCAGTTTCATTGCTCACGGGGACGATCACTTTTTACATGGTGTTCCAGGCCAGCTTTTTGCAATACGTTTTCTTCTGCCTTAATCTCTTTGGATGCATTGCCATGGTCGAGAGCTGCATGATGATCGTCGCCTCCCTTGTTCCAAACTTTCTTATGGGTATCATCACCGGTGCCGGAGTTTTGGTAAGTCCCAAGGTGCACAGTATTTATGTGCCAGGATGAACATTATTTTCCATTATTTTTTTAAGGAATCAACTCACCCAAAAGCTCAAGCTTGTGTTTGTAGGCCTAGAAAAGGTCTAACATTATCGTGCAAAATGGTTAAACTGTGTGTTACTTTTGTTCAGGGAATTATGATGATGACGGCGGGATTTTTCCGTTTGTTGGATGACCTCCCGAAGGTGTTTTGGCGCTATCCGATTTCGTTCATAGGTTATGGGGCATGGTCCCTCCAGGTACGGCTACGTTTCTCATTCCAATGTCATGTACACTCAGATAGAATGTGGTTTGGTCCAAGTGTCTTGAACGAACTATTTTCCAATTTGAAACTCAAACGTGTTTTGGCTGCAGGGTGCGTACAAGAACGACATACTTGGACTTGAATTCGACCCGTTGTTTCCCGGGGGAGATAAGATGAAAGGAGAAGACGTGATACGAAACCTTTTCAAGATACCACTTGATCATTCCAAGTGGTGGGATCTCGTTGCCTTGTTTAGCCTCATCGTGGTGTACCGGCTCGTGTTCTTCCTCGTCCTCAAGGCAAAGGAACGCGTGTTGCCCTTCTTCCGGTCGGTGCGCGCGAAGAGGACATTGCATCGGCTCAGCAAGCGCCCTTCTCTCATAAGAAGACCGTCCGTGTCTTCTAGAAGGTACCAGAACATCCGCTCGTTGTCTTCGCAAGAGGGCCTCAGTTCTCCACTCCCATAGATTCACTAGTTGTGTTCATATCATTAGGTATAATCCTTGGTGAAGAAAAAAAACATTGTTTTTTGTTGTTATTTAATTTTATAATCACTTTTGGTTTGATCAAGTTGGTGAGTTGCTTCTGTTGTAATAAGTTTATTTTTAGTCAGGTGTTCACTCACATTTGAAAGACTGTAAACCATAGCTTCCTCACAAAATTATCAATACACTTCCTCTATTCCAAAAAAAGAAGTCTCTAAATTTTTAAATATATATATTTAACTCCTTTTGTCCTTTATTATTCTTGTCATTTTGTTTTAGCACATTTTTTATTACAAGAGAAAGAAGTATTTGACTTTTCATTGTTATCATTACTGTAGTAAATTGAAGAGATAAATTAATGGCATCTTCATATAAGGAATATAGTATGAGCTAAAAAAGATGGGATAATTTCACACAAATACCTTCAATATTGAAGAGGTAATTTTTATTTTTTAACTCTATACCATTTGTCATACAAAATGATTTGAAAATAATTTCAGTCAAACATCGTAAACCGAAACAGGCATTATAAATTGGGATGGAGCGAGTATAAAACATATGAAGCATTTGTTTTTAATTTTATCCCGATTTTGATATACGGAGTACTGCCTTTATAATGGTTGATCAATTCTTTTTGTAATTTAATAAATTTTAAAATTGATTTAAAAGTTAAAAATAAAATTAGTATAGATATTTAAAAAATTTATCAAAATATTTAAAATTAAAATGTGAGATCATGATATTTTTTATCAAATTATCAATGAATATGTGTACAGGAAAAAGATATTTTCTCTGTCTCAAATTAAGTTGCATGTTTACTATTCGCATAATCAAACTTTGTTCACTTTTTTTTTCTTATTTGCGTTATTTATTTGTTAAAATAATACAGTTTTGTCACATCTTGTTTTGTAAATATTTGATGTAGTTTTTTAATATATAAATTTTAGTTCTCCGATCTTAAAAATCTTTCTTGTTTTAACTTTTTTTAGTCAAATACTGAGACTATTTGACTATAAATTTTGAAAAAAATGTATATTTAATTATAATATAAAGATAATACAATTTGGTTTATCTTAGGATATAGTTTTGATATATCAAATTTTTATATCATTTATTTATTAAGATTAAGTTTAATTTATGGTCAAAGAATATCAAGGTTTGACCAAAAAAGTCAGAACATGAAAGCTTTTGAGACCAGAGGAAGTATTTTAAATTTTGCTTCAGTTCTCAAATAAATTATGTTAAAAATAACTCGAGTCAAATATGGTAAACCGAAACAGTTAATTTGAGGGTTAAAAACATAATTTAACATTAATCCTATGTGCAGTGACATATTCTGAAGTCAGTTAGACGGACAACACAATAATAATGACTATAGTTGTGGACTAGAATTTTGACATAAGTCAACATCTGTAGCCTATGCTTGTACTCCGTAGTAAAAAGCGACTGCAATTTAGAAACGACGATTCAAGAGCAACCTCTTACATTGAGTATGACAAGAAACATATATAATCATTGTAAAAATTACACTTTTAACCTTCAAATTAACACTAACATGTTAGAAGATAAAAAAAACTATTTTTGAAAAGATACCCATAAAAATACCACGAGCGTAATCTTTGATAATATAAGACTGAATATAAAAAATCCCATATTATGACTAATTATGAAATTTACTCAAAAAATAATTTCAACCAAATATCCAACCTTTAACATGAAAATCTAGAAAGGAGAGCATAGAACAGTAGAACGCAACAAAGGGATCGGAAGATCATATGATTTAGTACACATACATATATATATACACACACACACACGGGGTACGACCAAAGGGAGTCCCTCGAAGAGGAACGACCAAAGGGAGAGGGTCATTTATTCCACTCGTCAAGTATATTTGGAAAGAGGTATACACACACACACACACACAGGGTACTCATCATTATGCTATGCGTGCAACGCGGAATCTAGGGAGGTAAGGACGGTGTTTGCGGTTGTGTTTGAAAACTGCAGCAACATAAAAATTCACCTCAACCTGTTTGACGATCTGCTTGTGCTTCTAAATTATGATCGACTTTAGAAGCCTAAAATGGACTCAATGAGCCCTTTTAAACAAACCATCTACTTTTCGCTTCTACTTACAACTTTTGTTTTTTCACGAATTTATTACAATCCCAAACACCTTCTAGCATGGGGGTTACTTGACGAAATTTACATAGAAACACTACAAAAACTTTATGTTACGCGTGGCACTCTCCCGGGCTTAGACCCACCCTAGATATGGACCATGCAAAGGAGAAGAAGAAGAAGAGGTTGATTGTATAGACATGTAAGATACACATTCATGGGTTGCAGCACATTTAACCTGCAAACCCCGGAAGAGTTGCAAAACGTTAGAGGGTTTCATTGTGCAATTACACAAGCTTTAAGTCATTAAGTGTCTTCTCAAAAAAAAAACATTTAGTGTGATTGTCCATTATGGTAAAGTTTTAACTAAAGTTGTGATGGGAAGGCCACCAATTTCTAAGGATCATCTTTAGGGATAGCAACAAAGCAGATTTTGGGCGGGTGGAGCTTCACCGTCATCCATCATTCGACTCCATATTCATCACTCGATCCATCCATCACCCGTTACATGCATCACTTATCACCCAATCCATCCATCACCCGCTGATGAGGCGGGTGAAAACGGATGATATAAGTAATATTTCCTTTGTCTCAAATTAAATTGCCTATTTCAATTTACGATGTTTAACTACATCGAAAGCTCTAGGAAACAAAAATGACAAGAGTATATTATTTTATCAAATTAGTAATGAAAATCGGAAAAGAAAATGAATAAAGTGGCCTTGTAAATAGTAATCATGCAACTTAATTTGGGACAAGTAGTTTTTTAATCATTAATCCCATGAAACAAAATACTTATGAAGCGTATAACATTGAAAAATATTAGGAAAATAAGAGAGTAATGATATTTATAATAAAATTTTGCAAAGAAACAATCTTCTAAATTACAAACTAAGTTTTTATAAAATGAAACATTGGAAACTAGAACAAAATTATGTAACCATAAAAGGTAATATTTTCAATTATAATTTTCTTTAAAATAAATATGAATGCGTCATATGATGCATCGGGTGACAGGTGAGAAACATCTCCACCCGCTTCCGACCTGATCCATCATTATTTCATCCATCATGTGTCCATCACCCTTTTATTTTTGGGTGTTTATCAATGAGGGCGGATTGGATGAATCGATTATCCATTAGATCGAGTAGAAATTGTCATCCCTAGTCATATTAGATACTCTCTCTCTCCTAATTGATTCTTGATTCAGAAAGAATCACGGAATTTTAACCAAACATAAGAATATTGTTTACTTACTATATAAATGTGGAATATAAGAGATAAATCGATGTGACATGAGTACAAAATGGTAAAATGGATTTTTGTAATGCTTTGGTTTGGAAATATTTCAAGTGTTTCTCATAACTATAAGAAAAAGACTAAACTCGAAGTAAAACATAGAAAATGTACTAAAATAAGAGTTTCATGTTTTTATTCCCAACATATAATTTCAAAACGTATTGTTAAATGTCCATATACATGGTAAAATGGATTTTTTTAATGTTTTTGTTTGGAAATATTTTAAGTGTTTCTTATAACTATGAGAAAAAGACTAAACTAGAAATAAAACATAGAAAATGTACTAAAATAAAAGTTTCATGTGTTTATTCTCAAAATAGAAGTTAGAATACAAACACAATGTCAATCATGTCAATATATAAATTCTAAAATGAATTGTTATATGCCCAATGCCACATTATCACCATGCAAACTTTTATTTTGCGAATAAAAAGATAGAAATCATATTTTAGTATTTTCTCTATGTTTTACTCCTATTCAACATAATTTCTTTATGACTATTCCCCTATCCCAAAAATAATTTGACATTATAATTTACGATATTTGCTCGAAGTTATTTTCAATTTAATTTACTTCAAAATTGATGTATAAATAAAAAATAATTTCATATATCTAAAAACTACCCCTTCCATGCCAAATTAATCATCCTTGTTTTCGTTTTGGGTAGTCCAAAGTATTCTTCCACTTTCCTTTTTCGGAAAGCTTTTTGTGGCTCACCTTTGGTCTCTCTTTTCTGTATCACTTTCAACCACACAATTTTAATTTTCTGAAATTCCATGCGAAGTCAAATTGTAAATATTAATTTGGGACAGAATGAGTATATAAAAGAATTTGTAAAACAAAAGGTAATATGATTATATTATTTTATCAAATGAACAATAAAAATAGGTTTAAAATAAGAGAGAATATAATTTGACTATGTTAATACTGAATGTAATGATTTTTTTTGGAATAGAGAAAATATTTGAAATTATAAAACATGTGTTGATAACTAAGGGTCTGAAAATGTATAGCACAAGGCCTTTCCGGGTTTTTCCTTTCTTAAAACGAGAACTGCCTTTAGAAGAGACATGTTCATTCTTAAATGACATAACTGTTGGAGATTTATTTTGAATTTAAATTGAAAATTTTCAAACAAATGTAAGAGCACACTTATTCTTAAATGACGCATTCTTTTTTTATAAATAGGGTACTTAGCCACTATTTGATTATTAGGTACACAAATAATTTCATATTAATTAGGATTTCATTGATTATCTAGAATGTTAAATAAATAATTTAGTATTTGTTTCTTCAAAGCAACCGGGCTGCTCATGTGGTCTTTTGATGAGGATATGGCTTTAGATAGGAACAATTAGAGGTCTAGGATTAGAATAATTGGATAGATTTTTGGGCCTTAGTTTGTAGTTTATGCTAGTATCGGTTTGTGTGTTTCATGTCTCTATGCTCTTACTTTATCCGTGCTACTATGTTCACTTTGTTTATGCATCCATGTTTGAGTTGGAAGTATCTGGTAAACAACCTCTCTACTTTCGAGTAGGAGTAAGGTCTCCATACACACACCGTCTCTATACCCTATCTTTTGTGGAATTTTATCGAGTTTGTTGTTGTTGAGGTGTACTAATATGCATTATCTGAAGAGTTATAAAAACTGGCTATGCACAAAGGGTGGACTTCATTTGGGTATATCATTTGTGATTAGCATTAACGTTTTAGATAATTTTTAATGGTACAGATTAATTTTGAAAAGATCAAAGCTCAAAGCTACCTTCAGATAGCATTTTCAAAACGCAAAAGC